AAAAAAAAAAAAAAAGGTAAAAACAGAAAAGACTTTTAAAGCCTAATTTAGTGCATTCCTGCAGTATACTGCCCATATATGCAATTTGTGCACACATAGGGGTAGGGTACTGGAAAGACAGACTCAGAGCTCTGTGCTGTCCTCCCTGGGCTGTGGCCTCACCTGTGCAGCTCCTTCCAGAATCACAGCCCCTCTGTGTTCCCTTTTGGAGATGAGCAGGCCATTTCATGTAAAGCTTCACATGTCTTATGAGTTCTTCCAACTATCTTTGCTTCTGCCTGGGTATATTAATTGTTTATAATAAACCCAGTCTAAAATAGTAAACAAAATAGTAGTTTAGAAAGTAATCCTGTTTACTGCTTTTGTATCAAGTGAAAACAGCAAATAAGGTTCAGAACAGCACTTGGTGGATCATAAAGATTATATTTGTTTACTTCTTATCCCCTTTCTCCACCCAGAAAAGGATTACTGCAGTCTTTGTGACAAGCAGCCCATAGGAAGACTTCTCTTCAGGCAATTCTGTGACACAAAGCCTAAGCTAAAGAGGTGCATTGAATTCTTAGACGCAGTGGTGAGTGATCCATCTCAGTGTTGAGCTACACACACAGTCTTGAGCTTTTCAAAATTAAAAAACTAGGCATTGTTTTTCAAAATTAAAAACCTAGGCACTGGCGTATGAGTGGATAGATTAGTTGTCTTGGGGTCATATTATCTTCTTAGTTCAGAAATCTCTTTAGTGTAAAAGTGGAATTTCTGTATTACCAGCTACTCTGGAGGCTGAGGTAAGAGAATTGCTTGAGCCCAAGAGTTTGAGGTTGCTATGAGCTGTGACTCCAGGACACTCTCTGCAGGACAACAAAGTAAGACTCTGACTCAAAAAACAAACAAATAAATAAATAGAACTATACCTCCTGTGTTGGAGAAGCACATGCAGTTATTAGATGACCTTGAAACATGCTGCTTCGATTATATGAACGTAGATGGGTTAATTTAGATGATGCACTAGTTAAACCACCTGAAAAGTATCCTTCCTGCTCTCAACTGGCAGATGCTAGAGACTTAAAACACTTTCAACCCAGAATGATAAACTTCATCCCCAGAAGGGGTAAGGTCAGTGCAAGAAGAATGGCTACATTGGGTGGAATTTACTTTGCTCCATGGAGTTTCTGACATTCTTTGTATCCTGTGTGAGATTTACTGTTTTCCCTGTAAGTAAAGAAATTTTGTGTTTCTAAATTTTTGTGGATACCACTGGCAAGCCTAGAATTCCCAAACTGTGAAATTCAGAAACAAGTGACCAGTAGGAAATTGGAATTTAGCATGAAAGCTCTCTTACTTGTGTTATCATAACCAGGACACCACCCCTCCCGGGCTGCTTCAGCCTGGCTAACTCTGTCAGCAGGTATGTTCTGAGCACTTAGGATGTGCAAGACTGTCGTGAATCATCCGATCCATAGTCACTTTGTTCTCTGACATAGCTTTCTAAAAACTTAAAAAAAAATACATTTATTTGTATTTTAAATATATTTATATCATACACCATATATATTATACATACGTATATATTTAGTTTCTTGAAATTCTCTTATCTCGGCTTTTGTGATTTCTCCTTAGGTTTCCTTTTTCTCTTATTCCTTTTCCAGCTCTTCTTCCTGACCTGTCCCCTGCAGATGTTCAGATATTGGTCATATTGTGCTCTGGACCTTCTATTTTCTGGCCAGTTTAAGGTCTCCACTCCTAGGGTCGGTCCCCTGACACCTATGGTACCTTGCTTTGGTATCACCAACTCTCACTTCCCCCGTGGGAACTCTGGACTCAGTTTCAAGGGCCTCTTGGACATCTCTAAATTGCTGTTGCCTAGAACAGGCCCACCCACTTATTCTATTTTATTTGGCCATATTTAATGGCCAAACATATAATATGATGTAGAGAGTCTGCAGGGTGGCACTGCCTTACTGTCTATCCACCTCCTTTTACAAACTGCCTTTTTACCCTCTCATAGCCCTTAGTTTCCCAAAGAAGACATATAGATATTTGATGAATAGACCAAGGACTCTGGTTTTGAGAGTAAAGAGTCAATTCCATAAATCAGAGAATTTTAAACATTATGAACATTACTGATGAAGAAACTTAACTTTTTTTCTTCCCCTTTTTTTTTTTTAAGAGATAGAGTCTCACTTTGTCATCCTTGGTAGAGTGCTGTGGCATCACAGCTCACAGCAACCTCCAGCTCTTGGGCTTAAGTGATTATTCTCTTGCCTCAGCCTCCCAAGTAGCTGGGACTACAGGCGCCCACCAAAACACCTGGCTATTTTTCTGTTGCAGTTTGGCCACGGCCAGGTTTGAACCTGCCACCCTCAGTATATGGGGTTGGCACCCTACTCACTGAGCTGCAGGTACCGCCCAACATTTTTTTCTTTTTGTAAAGACATAGTCTCATTCTGTTGCCCAGGCTGGAGTGCAGTGGCAAAATTGTAGCTCACTGCAGCCTTAAATTCCTGGGCTCAAGTGACCTTCCTTCTTCAGCCTCCTGAGCAGCTGGGATAGTGGGCGTGTGCCACCACACCTGACTTAACTGTGTTTTTCTTTTCTCCCACCTTTCCAATCAGGCAGAATATGAAGTTGCTGAGGAGGAGGACCAAAGTGATTTTGGACTGTCAGTCTTAAATAAATTCTTCAGTAAAGAGGTGTGTTTTCTTCTTTAGAATAAAGGTTTGTAAATAACTTACTCAAATAATTAGAGTGCACAACCATTTTACTTTGTTGGATAAGATACAACACATTAAACGCTTTAATTTATCATAAATGTTCTGTTGCGGCCTTTTTGTTTGATTCTGTGAGGAAATTAACAGTAGATCTCTTAGAAAATTGTCTCAAAGAATTTAAAAGTTTGTTTCCTCAAGCAGAATATAGAAGAGAATTTTATTTGTCTCTTGGACTAAAAATAACTTTTTAAGAGGATCTTTATTTTTATGCTTTTATTTATTTATTTATTTTAGAGACAGAATCTCACTTTGTGGCCCTCAGAAGAGTGCTATGGCCTCACAACTCACAGCAACCTCCAGCTCTTAAGTTTAGGTGATTCTCTTGCCTCAGCCTCCCGAGTAGCTGGGACTACAGGTGCCCACCACAACGCCTGGCTATTTTTTGTTACAGTTTGGCCAGGGCCGGATTCGACCCTGCCACCCTCAGTATATGGGGGCAGCGCCCTACTCACTGAGCCACAGGTGCTGCCCTTTTTTTGTTTTTATACTCCCTGGGTTCTTGCAGTTTAGTTATGTCTGAAATTATAGTTGTGACCAGCTTCCTTTCACGTGCCTTGTTTAGCAGGCCATTAGAAGTCCTAAATTCTGGCAGTGTCCATAGCTCAGTGGGTACGGCACTGGCCACATATACTGAGGCTGTCGGGTTTGAACCCCGCCTGGGCCAGCTAAAACAACAATGACAGCTGCAACAACAACAACAAAAATAGCTGGGGCGGCACCTGTGGCTCATAGGAGTAGGGTGCCGGCTCCATATACTGGAGGTGGCGGGTTCAAACCTGGCCCCAGCCAAAAACTTCAAAAAAAAAAAAATAGCTGGGTGTTGTGGCAGGTGCCTGTAGTCCCAGTTACTTGGTAGGCTGAGGCAAGAGAATTGCTTAAGCCCAGGACTTTGAGGTTGCTGTGAGCTATGATTCCATGGCACTCTACCCAGGGTGACAGCTTGAAACTCTGTCTCAAAAAAGAAAAAGTCCTAAATTCTGGGTAGGGCCCTATAGGGATGAGGGAAGAACAGTAACTGTGATGATAGCTCACACATTTATGAATTCTGCTCTAAAGTGCCATACTTATTTGGAGACAAGGTGTCTCTCTCTCTGTTGTCCGGGCATAAGGATAGTGGCATTGGTCTAGCTCACAGCAACCTCAAACTCCTGGGCTCAAGTGATCCTTCTGCCTCAGCCTCCTGAGTAGCTAGGACTACGGGCATGTGCCACCACCCCTAAATAATTTTTCTATTTTTTGTCTCTATATGGCTCAGACTGATCTCAAATTCCTAGCCTCAAGCAGTCTTCCCACCTTGGCCTCCCAAAGTGCTAGGGTTATAGGCTTGAGCTACTATGCCCTGTCTGCTCTTGGTGATTAAGTGACTCACCCAAAGTTACACAGCTAGTACCTGTCTGAGCCAGGAATCTAGCAGGGAATGGAATTAGAGAATAATGTTCTGAGAATGAGTCCAGAACAGATTTTAAACCGTCAAGTTAGAGGTGCCTCCTTATGCAAATGGAATGGGGCTGTCTAGCAGTAGCTGGCAGAGGTGGGACGCAGACCCAGATGGATTTTGACTCTAAAGCCATGTCCTCCCCAGGCTCATAGATCATTCTTCTCCGTCACTCGGGGACACTATTTGGGATGAATAGAGGTTTCATTTATCAAGTTCTCTTGTCTTTTTTATTAATTCCTTTTTTTTCTTCACCTCTCCTAAAGAAATATGTACATAGCAAAGGAAGTCAACAAAAAGAAAGAACCCGGCCCTGACCAAAACTGGGAAAAAAAAACATAGCCAGGCGTTGTGGTGGGCACCTGTAGTCCCAGCTACTCAGGAGGCTGAGGCAAGAGAATTGCCTAAGCTCAAGAGCTGGAGGTTGCTGTGAGCTGTGATGCCACGGCACTCTACCAAGGGTGACAAAGTAAAACTCTGTCTCTTAAAAAAAAAAAAAAAAGAAAGATATAATTTAAAAATTGATAATGATGGGTACAGCAGATGCAGCGGAGAGAGGGAGGTGGGGTATGTCTGTGGCTGGCATCTCACTCTGCTTTGTGTTGCCAGAGCAAAGTGCCACAGGCCGGCTGACTCCCAGTGAATGGGAACTCATGGGCTCACAGTGCTGCAGATGAGGAAGTCCAGCTCAAGGTGTTGTCCACCTAACAGGAAGACCCCAAGGCACAAAATCTGACAATAAACCGTTTATTTAGGCTCGGCGCCTGTAGCTCAACCGGCTAAGGCGCCAGCCATGTACACCTAAGGTGGCGGGTTCAAATCCCCAGCCCGGGCCCGCCAAACAACAATGATGGCTGCAACCAAAAAATAGCCGGGCGTTGTGGCGGGCGCCTGTGGTCCCAGCTACTTGGGAGGTGGAGGCAGGAGACTCGCTAGAGCCCAGGAGTTGGAGGTTGCTGTGAGCTGTAACGCCATGGCACTCTACCCAGGGGGACAGCCTGAGGCTCTGTCTCAAAAATAAATAAATAAATAAACCGTTTATTTAGTCAGAGTTAAGGACTGCTGGGGACACACATTTTAAGTTTCTTGGGGAGTGCTTTGCTCCACCAGCCTTTATTACAAGCAGGTTTTTTTATTTGTTTTGTGCATGTCACCATGCTTAGCTAATTTTTAAGTTTTTTGTAGAGATGGGGTCTCACTGTGTTGTCCAGGCTGATCTCAAACTCCTGACTTCAAGCAATCCTCCCACCTTGGCCTCCCAGAGTGCTGAGATTATAGGTGTGAGCCACGATGCCTGGCCACAGACAGTTTTTTAAAGGCAAAAGGAACGAGGAATAGGTTAACATAAAGTTGTTCATCAGGAGATGACATTGGTGATTGGCTATTCATTGTTGAACTATAGGGTATGAGGTCTGGTGTCCAGTGCATGGCATTTTATGGCTATTGGCCTTAGTTTATAGTTCACATAGAAAGTGGCTTCAGGAGGTAATTATTTAGCTCAAGGGGGAGTGAGACATGACAACTGTTGTATTTTTTTTTTTTGAGACAGAGTCATACTTTGTCACCCTCTGTAGAGTGCTGTGCCATCATAGCTCACAGCATCCTCAAAGTCTTAGACCAAAGGAATTCTCTTGACTTAGCCTCCTGAGTCACTGGGACTACAGGCATGTGCCACAATGCCCAGCTATTTTTTTAGAGACTGGGTCTCCCTCTTGTTCAGGCTGGTCTCGAACCTGTGAGCTCAGGGCAATCCACCCACCTCAACCTCCCAGAGTGCTAGGATTACAGGTGTGAGCTACCTCACCTGGCCCTGCTATCGTATTTTACTTTATTATTATTATTTTTTTTGAGACGGAGTCTCCCTATGTCACCCTTGGTAGAGTGCCATGGAGCTCACAGCAACCTCAAACTCTTGGGCTTAAGCAATTCTCTTGCCTCAGCCTCCCGAGTAGCTGGGACTACAGGTGCCTGCCTTAATGCCCAGCTATTTTGTTGTTGTTGTTGTTGTTATTGTCATTATTGTTAAGCAGGCCCAGGATAAGTTCAAACTGCCAGCCCCAGTGTATGTGGCCGGTGCCCCAACCATAGTCCATGATAACCACCTGTAACCATGGCTACAGGTGCCGAGCCATGCTGTTGTACTTTAAACGCCTTTCTGGGCTCACATTCCTTACGTGAAAAGCTCTTCTTCTTTCCCAGTGCCAGTTTCTGGCAAGGTCTTTTGCTGCATCATCATGCGGTACGAGGGCAGAGAGAGAGAAAGGAGTGCACGTGCGCCTGTGTGCCTGCCCCTGCCTGCAGAGGGGAGAACCCACTTCCCAGACACAGGGTACAGGCATTAGTCCCTTCACGAGGACAGAGCCTCCTACATACCTCTCAAAGGTGTTTCTGGTATTCTCACAACTGCATTAAATTTCAACATGAGTTTTAGAGAGGACAGATATTCACCCCATAGCCCATGATAATAGAGATATTTATGGGCTGGCTGGAGGTATATCTGGAAAGCTTGTATTTTTTCTTAGTGTCAGCTGGGGAAAGTGCCATTCTTCTCTACCTGATTGCCCTGTCCTTGTGCATTTCTAAAACAAAAAAATAATAAAGATTCACATCATCATTGTAGTTTTTCTTCTTTTCCTTAAAAGCAGCAACAAAACTCTTTCTTTTTCATAGCACTTAAGGGAACTCACTCAAAGTCACTTACTCAGATTTCAACAACCCAGAATATCTAAAGTACCAAAAAGTAAGGCAAGACCGTGTTTGTTCACTCTTGGACTTTTTTTTTTTTTTGACAGAGTCTCATTTTATCGCCTCGGTAGAGTGCCTTGGCGTCACAGCTCACAGCAACCTCCAACTCCTGGGCTTAGGTGATTTTCTTGCCTCAGCCTCCTGAGTAGCTGGGACTATAGGCACCCGCCGCAATACCAAGCTAAAAAAATTTTTTTTTTTTTTTGCCGGGGCTGGGTTTGAACCGGCCACCTCTGCCACCTCCAGCATATGGGACTGGTGCCTTACTCCTTTGAGCCACAGGTGCCACCCCCACTCTTGGACTTCTTGATCCTGTCACTCAGACCTTAGTTTTCCTCTCTGGATTCCCTAATATTAAAATATAGCCAAGGCTTGGCACCCATAGCACAGTGGTTAGGGTGCCAGCCACATGCCCCGGGGCTGGCAGAATCAAGGTTGGCCTGCGACTGCTAAACAACAATGGCGGCAACAACAAAAAAACAGCTGGACATTGTGGCGGGGACCTATAATCCCAGCTAGTTGGGAGGCTGAGGCAAGAGAATCACTTAAGCTCAAGAGTGTGAGGTTACTGTGAGCTGTGATGCCACAGCACTCTACCAAGGGCAGCAGAGTGAGATGCTCAAAAAATAAATAAATAAAATAAATAAATATATAAATAAAATATAGCCAAACTTGAAAGTGACATTTATAAGAGTCATAACCAGGCCAGCCATAGTGGTTCTTGCCTATAATCCTAGCACTTTGGGAGGCCAAGGCAGGAGGATTGCTTGAGTCCAGGAGTTGCAGACCAGCCTGGGAAATAGCAAAACCCCATCTCTGTAAAAAAATTTTTACATTAGGGGGGGTGTAGTGGTGTGTGTCTGTAGTTCCAACTACTTGGGAGGCTCAGGCAGGAGGATCACTTGAACCCAGGAGTTTGGGGTTGCAGTGAGCTATGCTTGCACCACTGCACTCTATCCCTGGTGACAGCAAAACCCTGTCTCAAAAATAAATACAATAACCAAAACCAAGTGGGAGTTTTCCCAGAAATGCAAAATAGGTTCTATAGCTGAAAATCAATTAATATAAGATATCATATTAATAAAATAAAGGACACAAAACCACATGATTATAGACAAAAAGCATTTGACAAAATTCACACTCCTTCATAATAAAGGCACTTAACAAATGGGGTGGGAAGAAACTTGCTCAGCCTGATAAAGGTTATCTGTGAAATACCCACAGCTCAGATCATTCTTAAATTTAAAGATGCCCTAGATACTGATGCTTTCCTCCAAGATTAAGAACAAGACAAGGGGCTGTGCCCGTAGCTCAGTGGGTAGGGTGCCAGTGGGTTTGAACCCGGCCTGGGCCTGCTAAACAATGACACCTGCAACAAAAAATAGCTGAGTGTTGTGTTGGGTGCCTGTAGTCCCAGCTACTTGGGAGGCTGAGGCAAGAGAATTGCTTAAGCCTAAGAGTTGGAAGTTGCTGTGAGCTGTGACTCCATAGCATTCTACTGAGGGCAACATAGTATAACTCTGTCTAAAAAAAAAAAACAAGATGAGGTTGTCAGCCCTCACCACTTCTGTCAACTGGAAGTTTGGAAGTTCTAGATACAGCATCTAGGCAAGAAAAAGAAATAAAAGGTGTTCAGATTGGAAAGCAATAAGTAAAACTCTATTTGCAGATGACATCTTCTATGTAGAAAATCCTAAAGAATACACCCACACAAAAAACTGTTAGAACTAATAAACAAATTCAGCAAAGTTGCCAATTCTAGATCACTATACAAAATTAAATTGTAATTCCTATGTACTAGCAATTAAAATTCAAAAAAAGAAATCAAGAAAGCAACTCTGGGTGGCGGCTGTAGCTCAAAGGAGGGCGCTGGCCCCAGTCCCACAAAAAAAACTGAAAAAAAAAAAAAAAGATGCCAGGCACAGTGGCTCACGCCTGTAATCCCAGCACTGTGGGAGGCTGAGGCAGGAGGATTGCTCGAGCTCAGGAGTTCAAGGCTTGTCTGAGCGAGAGTGAGACCCCGACTCATGAAAAAAATGGAAAAACCCAGCCGGTGCCACTGTGAGCACCAGTAATCCCAGTAATCCCAGTGGCCTCGGAGGCTGAGGCAGCAAGATGCCACAGCCAGAGTCTGAGGTTGCAGTGAGCTACAAAGCCATTGCACTCTGCTCAGGGCACAGGGTAGAACTGTGTCTCAACAACAACAACAAAAAAAAGATATTTTTAAAAAAAAAGAAAGCAACTCTACTTACATTCCTTTGAAAAGGAATAAAATACTTAAGAGTAAATATAACAAAAGAAGGGCAACACTTATACTCTGAAAACTAGAAAGCATTGAAAAATTAAAAACCTAAATGAATGGGAAGACATTCCTTATTCATGGATAAAAAAACTTAACTATTGCTAAGATCATTTCCCAAATTGATCTATAGATAGAAGATAATCCCTCTCAAAATCCCAGCTGCCTTTTCTCTCTCTCTCTTTTTTTTTTAAATTCAGTCTCTGTAGAGACTGTCAAAAATGCCAGTGCTGACTATATTTCAAGTGGTCATGGCAGGGTATTGAGAAAAGTTGATAGTTAGCAAAAATCACACCTCGGATAAACCTCATTGGCTATGATACTGCCATTGCACAAAGCTCCAGCTGCCTTTTTTGCAGAAATTAACAAGATGATCTTACTATTTATATGGATATTAAAGAGACCCAGAATAGTTGTAACATTCTTTAAAAAAAGAACTTAAGTGGAGGATTCAACACTTCTCAATATCAAAATTTACTGCAAAGCTACAGTATCAAGACCATAGCACACTTATCCTCAATTGACTTTTGATAGGTGAAAGAATAGTCTTTTTGAACAGCTGGATATCACATGCAAAGAATCAATCACCTGCCTCACGCCATAAACAAAAAATGCTAAGCATATGGAGACCTAAATGTAATAGCCAAAACTACACAATGCTTACAGGAAACCACAAGTGTAACTCCTCCATACCTTGAAATTAGGCAGTAATTTCTTAGATATGACACCTGAGGCACAAGCAGCAAAAGAAAAAAATAGATACATTTGACTTCAAAACTTTTTTTATTTTTGAGACAGAGTCTTACTATGTCACCCTCAGTAGAGTGCTATGATGTCACAGCTCACAGCAACCTCCCTCCCACTCTTGGGCTAAACGATTCTCTTGCTTCAGCCTCTCAATAGCTGAGACTACAGGCATCTGCCACAACACCTGGCTATTTTTTTTTTTTTTTAGGTACAAAGTCTCACTTTGTCGCCCTCGAGTGCCATGGCATCACAACTCACAGCAACCTCCTCTTGGGCTTAGGTGATTCTCTTGCCTCAACCTCCCAAGTAGCTGGGACTACAGGTGCACACCACAACGCCCAGCTATTTTTTGTTGCAGTTTGGCCGGGGCCAGGTTCAAACCCAGCACCCTAGGTATATGGGGCTGGTGACCCACTCACTGAGCTACTGGTGCCGCCCCTGGCTTTTTTTTTTTGAGACAGAGCCTCAAGCCCTCACCCTGGGTAGAGTGCTGTGGCATCATAGCTCACAGCCACTTCCAACTCCTAGGCTTAAGTGATTCTCTTGCCTCAGCCTCCCAAGTAGCTGGGCACCCTCCACAATGCCCAGCTATTTTTTGGTTGTAATTGTCATTGTTGTTTGGCAGGCCCAGGCTGGATTCGAACCCGCCAGCTCTGGTGTATGTGGCTGGCATCTTAGCCACTTGAGCTACAAGGCCCCAAGCCCCCCTCGGTATTTTTTGTTGCAGTTGTTGTTGTTTAGCTGGCCAGGGTCAGTTTCAAACCCATCAGCCTTGGCGTATGGGGCTGGCGCTGTAACCACTATACTATGGACGCCAAGCCCAAAAATTTTTCTTTCTTTTTGAGACAGTCTCACTTTGTCACCCTCTATAGAATGTATGGGGTCATAGCTCACAGCAACTTCAAACTCTTGGGCTCAAGTGATCCTTACTGCTAAAGCCTCTGTAGTAACTGGGACCATAGGCACCCATCACAATGCTGTGCTAACACCCAGCTAGTTTTTTTCTATTTTTAGTAGAGATAGGGTCCTGCTCTTGCTCAGGCCAGTCTCAAATTTCTGAGCTCAAATGATCCTCCTGCCTTGGGCTCCCAGAGTACTAGGATTACAGCTGTGAGCCACGGTGCCATCCTGGACTTCAAAACTTAAAACTGTGCTTCAAACACCACCATTAAGAAAGTGAAAAGAGGCCAGGTACAGTGGCTCATGCCTACAATCCTAGCACTTTGGGAGGCTGACTCAGGCAGATTGCTTGAGCTCAGGAATTCAAGACCAGTCTGCGCAAGAATGAGATCCCATCTCTAAAAAAATAGCCAAGTGTTATGGTGGACTCGTATAGTTCCAGCTACTCGGGAGGCAGAGCAAGATGATCATTTGAGCCCAAGAGTTTGAGGTTGCTCTGAGCCATAACACCATGGCACTCAACCCCAGGGCAACTGAGTGACACTGTCAAAAGAAAAAACAAAAAGGGGGGCTCGGGGCTGGTAGCTCAGTGAGTAGGGTGCTGGCCACATACAACGAAGCTGGTGGGTTTGAGCTGGCCCGGGCCTGCTAAACAACAATAACAACTACAACCAACAAAAAAGAATAGCTGGACATTGTGGTCCCAGCTACTTAGGAGGCTGAGGCAAGAGAATTGCTTAAGTGCAGGAGTTGGAGTTGGTGTGAGCTGTGACGCCATGGCACTCTGCTAAGGGCAACATAGTAAGACTCTGTATCAGAAAAAAAAAAAAAGAAAAGAAAGAAAAAAAGAAAGAGAAGTAAAAAGATAATGTACAGAATAGGAAAAAGTATTTGCAAGTGAAATACCTGGTAAAGATCTAACCAGAATATGTAAAAAGCTCTTACAACTCTATAATAAAAAGACAGACTCCCCTTTTTTTAAATAGGAAAGTAAATGCATTTTTTAACACAGAAAAATAAATAAATTTTTTGAAGATCTACCCTTCACTCCCTCATCACTACTGGACTATCCTGCTAGAGTTTCCTGTGTCTGAAAAGAAGGCACCGGCTCGGCGCCTGTAGCTCAGTGGTTATGGTGCCAGCCACATACACCAAGGGTGATGGGTTTGAACTTGGCCCCGGCCAACTAGACAACTGCAACCAAAAAATAGCCAGGTGTTGTGGCGGGTGCCTGTAGTCCCAGCTACTTGGGAGACTGAGGCAAGAGAATCGCCTAAGCCCAAGAGTTTGAGGTTGCTGTGAGATGTGATGCCACAGCACTCTACTGACGGTGACATAGTGAGACTCTGTCTCAGAAAAAAGAAAGAAAGAAAGAAAGAAAGAAAGAAATCAGTCTGCAGTGCGTTTGTTGTTTCTAATTACAAGTTATGTAACAGTGGAATAGATTCTGGGTCTTTATTTTTTCCTTGAATCTGGACAGTGGGTTTTGTCATGTGTTTTCTGTTTCCAGAATCCTCTGGATGAGGGTCAAAGAGAGTGGGAGCAGGTATCAGGGCACTGTGAGTGGGAGTGCAGAGAGGCAGAACCTCTTTGGAGAGCAGTTTCACAATGAATATTAACACTAAAAATGCACATATCCTTTGAGCTAGTAATTATATTTTTAGGAATCTACCATTTAGGAAGACAGTATACCAAGGTGTCCTCTGCAGGTTGTTTGCTGTGGGAAGACCGGTTACCAGAATGTTCACTGGGGCGGAGTGAACATACTGGAAATCCATGCAGCCATTAGCAACTTAGGCCTTTCCCTAAGTGTCAGCACATGGTTACAAAACCATACATGTACTTTTCCCCACTCATATGGGGAAAAAGAAACTGTATTCCTGGGGGTGGGAGGTGTAGGGGGGTGTGTGTGTGACTTTCAATTTTTAATTGTAGTTTTAAAACCGCATATGGTAGGCCTAGCACTCTGGGAGGCCAAGGCAGGTGTATTGCTTGAGCTCAGGAATTTGAGAACAGTTTGAGACCAGCTTGAGCAACAGCAAGACCCTGTCTCTACTAAAAATAGAAAAAGCAGGCAGGCATTGTGGTTGGTGCCTATAGTCCCAGCTACTATGA